AACAAGCACATGCTAGCAGCAGGCACGATGGAGAAATGTTTTCAAACTCATACCCCCTCATCATGGGAACCACACAAAGAAGTTCATATGGCGCTGCTTTAAGTTGAGGCTGGCAGTACAGATCGATAGCCGCCGCTGGATTCAGCATGAACGAATCCATGGTTCGGTGTTGGAGACGCATAACTGCGTCCTTAATAGCAGATTTATTAAGGACACAGTCCTCTGCTGCGTCCTTGTGGAAACCGAGAGCGGCGGAGATATCAGCAGCTTATAGTCCGGTGAGGCTTATATATGTATTTTTCCAGTTTTTTTAAGAAAACTTTGTAGGTGCATCTTATAGTGAGGTGCGCTCTATAGTCCAGAAAATACGGTATACAGGTGAAGTCAGAGCTTATACACACCACGTAAAAGACATGAACCTTTATTTCTCACTGTCTAATATTATTAATGTAGGCAACATTTCTCATGTTTTATGTCAATTAAACTTACCACAATTATTTATATTTTAAAGAACGAGTGTTGGAGATTTATTTAACAATGCCTTCAAAACCAGATGTTTCCTTAGTATTTAATTGCTTTGCCTTTGAACTGTACCAGCAAACTATTCTCACAATCGACTTTTTCGGGGGCAAAATGAATGTACGTAGCTGAAAGTAGACACCAACATCGGTAGCTTATAAGGTACTTGTTAAGCTTAAGGTTCTGTATTGATATTAGCTAGTCATCTTTTAGCTAACATTACCTGCATCTAACAGCTTTACTCAACTCAGTCGGTTAGTTTGGAGGGAAAAACTGTGAAAAGTTCTTTGCGTTTTGTTGGTTGGCTGCCGTGATTCTAACACAAACCTACATAGCTCCGCCCAGCAGCAGCAGGTCTCCTTCACAGGTGGAAACCCAGCGCAGCGTCGTAGCGCTCATGTTGCGTTTAAAGGCGGCTCAGAAAAACAGGTTACAACATGTTAACAACGGATTAAACAGTTTTAACTGCTGATAAAAGTGACAGAGGACACAAATATGGGAAGTGTGGAAGCCTCTACTGTATCAAACTGACATAGGAATAACAGAGTTGGCCATTCTAAGGTAAAAACCCAGCGCATACAGTGTTCATGTTTTTTTTTTTTTTTTCATCCAGACGGCTTCCCGTGCCCCTCCTGCAATGACACGGCGCCCCCCCCCCCCACAGTTTGGGAACCTCTGGTTTAAAGAGACAGTAGCCATTCTTTATGTAAACTTTTTATGTTGAAGACATTCATAAACAAATCTCTGACATATTCTTTCGCTCAATACAGTCGAATTTAGCAAATGGAAATACTCTTGGTAATTCTAACTGAGCTCAAACAAGAGACGTCTGCTCTGATTTAACTTCAGACCTTGAGAGAAACAAGTGTATTCAGTGTATGTAAACTTCTGGTTTCAACTGTATATATGTGGAGTTTGCTGCTTTTTGGCAACAATGATGAATATGAGGAAAGCACCTAAGTCCCACTGTCACACACTGCATGTGTGTGTGATAGGTTCTTTAAAACTTTAAAACAGTGTACAGACACTCAATCACTATCGGGTCTTTTAACAGAGCAACGATCCAAATCAACACAGAAATGGTTTCACCAGAAACAAACTCAATCTCCTTCTTCTCCATCTCAGTGTCCAGAGGAGTGAGCTGAAAGCCCAGGGCTCTGGCTCATCCACAGAGAACCTGCATTTATTTGCACCATACTGTATCCTTTGATCTTGCATCAACTTTTTTACATTTTGCGGTGTGAAATTATTCTACCTACTGTTGTATAAGATATAGTTAAATTTAATTTATCTTATGCTGTTCTACACATCCTTTCCAACGACGTCCCTGAAGGCAACACAAAGTCTGTCTGTAAACCACAAAACACAAGGTTTTTGGTGCTGTGCCCTTTTCACCTCAGGACAAGGTTAACATGAACCTGAGTTTTATTTAGTTTATTCTCTTCCAGTCCTTCCTTTTAAAAATATTGTTTAACAACTGGTTTGAGGTCATTGCTGAAGGTAGCAACATAAAAAAACCCCACAACCTTTAAACTTAGTTTTCCAAAACTGTACTTCATATAGACAATGAATAATGTTTCAGTATTGGAGGTATTGGACCATGACATTCTCACAATATGGCAAATGTGTGTATAACACCAATTTTATGTCATTTACACAAAATATTTTAAACAGACATGTACCACAGAAAGAAAAAAAATCATTTTTGCTTGTTCAAAAATGCAAACATTTCTAAAAGAACGAATCAGAATGGCCAAGATTCCCCTTAAATGTACTCCTAATCCTTGTGAAAGCTTTCTCAGAAGAGCTGAAGCTGCTGTATTTGCAAAGTTTAGATCAACATTTAATAGACTGAGAAGGGGTTATCACTCCAGTTACTACGTGTGAACGCAAATACTTCTGCCAATAATAACATTTCTAGAAGCATTGGTTGAAGAAATGTTAATACATCAATAAAACAAATCAACTCAAATAATGCTATTTCTCTGGGAGACCCGTCTGTTGACATGATGAAGATGACTGAGAAGAGTCCATTCTACGGCATTTTACCAAACAATACAGCAACAAATTTCAGCATTACTGACACCTCATACTGAACTTCCTCTAAGTGCTAGCTACACGCTTACAATTAAAAACAATTTGGTTCAAGGTCACTTACTTCTGCCTCAGTCTATATAGTGCATGTAAATATGGTATCTAAAACTTAAGTCAAACCTTCTGAGTTTCACATAGCAGACCCCGTTTTGCCAAAATAACCTTAATTGTTTGGTTTTGTGATTGAAAAAGGCTGTTATGTTTTTCAATTTTATAAATGTCAAACATATCCACTCACTCATCTCGTTTGGTTGCTTTGTCCTGTGACAGTCATTTTCTTTTCGATTGCTCAGCAGATATAGTAACAAAAAAAGTTTTCGTTTGTTTTTAGATGCATTCGGCTTTGACAGATGCTTTTTATTATCAGCTGAAAAAAATGCTTCCAAGTTAATTCAACTATATCTCACTCAATCACCAGTCTATACTCTTATCTGTCACCACTCTATTACTAAATCCCTTTCTTTGTGCAACTTTACATGAAGCTTTGCTTTATGCAGATTAAAAAAAAATATTAAAGGAATCAATTTATATTTTAAAACAGTTTGATGAGGTTTTGGTTCAATGGAGTGTCGAGGCGTCGCCCTCATACCTGCAGCTGTAGCGGGCTGAGTCCAGAGGCCGCCGCGGCTGCCATTGTTGATGGAATGAACTGCATTGGGTAATTCTCACCTGGTGAACAACCAGAGACAACGCGTGTTAACAGAGAGAGGTGGGGGCAGAGTTCAGCACAAGAACAAACCTGCTCTTTACCTTCAGACCCGTCTCGTTCTCTCCGTCTCGCTGCTTTGTCTCCTTCCCCCCGCTCATGTTTTTATACATAAACACAAAGGGTCAGAACGCTTTATTCAGAGGTTAATAAGACTCACTGTCTGCACACATAAGTGCTCGAGACCGGGCTGAGCGGCGCTCGCTCAATGGGATGCACTCACCAGCTCATAAGCGAGTGCCATGTACAAACCCCTACTGTTTGTCTTTAAAAGGCTTTTCATGTCCAGGTCTTTGTTGAAAACAGATCGAAGCAAAAAATAAAGGAAAAAAAACAAACAAAAAAAACAGAGTGCACAATGATGGCTTTTTAACGCCTTTCTTTGAGTTGTTTTACTTTTTCTGTTTGCAGCCTTGCGTCCGACTATACGCAGACTGTACCGACATGAACCGTGGAGGCTCGCCGCTAACCTGTGTCGGGCGAGCACCTGGAGGAATGTATGGGAGAGAGGAATGCGAAGGACCAGGAAGACGCAAAGAAAGCAGGTGGCGCGTGGGATCCTGCAAAAACAAGACTGCAAATTATGCGTGACTTTGCGCGAGGGTGTGGCCGAAGACGTGCTGTGGAGGCAGAGCCGGGGAGAAAGATGTGCTGCGACACGCTACGCTGTGTGCGTTCCTTCACAGAGTCGTTCTCACGTTTAGGTGGTCAGCGTGCAACACGGACAAAAACTGAAACAGCAGCAAAGTGTTCTCTGAACATCTTCACATTTTGTCACAATCCACCGCAAACTTAGACGTGATTTGGTCGGGTTTTCTCTCATACACAAAAGCAAAGCAAATAAGTAATTGTGAAGCGGAAGGAAACTGATATGTAGTTGTCAACCTTTTTCAAAAATGAGTGTCTGAAAAGTGTGGTATTATCTACATGCGACTTTCCTGAACTAATTTTGTGTGGAACCGTCTGCATCCATCTATTAGCGTATGTCTGTGTTGGCGTTGCACATCTAGCGACTGAAATTTCTGCCTGGTTTTCTTCACAGATTAGCTCAAAATTGCCAAATCCAGATTCTCGTCTGGTAATGGCAAGGCATACATCTTCTGTCCGTCCGCCTATCTGTCTAGATGGTTAGCTACCGGACTAGGTACTCATCTATATATCCATCCATCTATCTAATAAGACTGACGTTAGACAGAAACACATGGCTACTTATCACCGACTCATCACCATAACCCACGCCGCTAAAGGCCTGTTTGAGGGCAAATCTTCTGAAACTTCGGCCTGTTTTCTCACTAATCGTTGTTGCAGAGTGCCAACATTGAAACGGCCATATCTCCCTCATTTTTAAAAAATATTTCTGTGTTTGACATCATTAAAAAGTTCAGAATCCACATTTTCAGAATCCGTAAATAACTCAAGACACCCACAGATGAGACTTGTTCCTCATTTTTTCATGGCCAGTTACAAATGTGTAATAGGTGGATGCAGTGTGTGTGTGTGTGTGTGTGTGTGTGTGTGTGTGTGTGTGTGTGTGTGAAATCCCATGTTGCAGATGTGCAGGGCGACTGACATGCTTTGCAGTTGCCACGGAAAGAGATGTTCCAGTCCGCTCTGTGTCCAAACGCATTGATCCTGAAGTGAACAAGCGGAGCTTGTAAATCTCTCCGCTCATTTCCAGAACATTCCTTACCTGACACACCTCATTTCTGTCAACTGGAATCTGTGTGTGTGTGTGTGTGTGTGTGTGTGTGTGTGTGTGTGTGTGTGTGTTGGAGGGTGAGGGGGTAAAGGAGAGGAGGTGCACATAAATATACCTGGCTTGTAGGACATGCCGGGCGGGAAGAGGAAGCCTTGTTGTGCGGCGGCGGCGGCAGCCAGAGAGCGCTGGTCGTGTGGGAACAGGGGGATCATCAGAGGAGGCATGTGACCCTGGACCTGAGGGGGAGTCGGACCAAGAGGGAGAGGCTGAGGCCAAGCCAGGAAAAAAGGAACTGAAGACACGTTTACGAGCGCATCCGACGACGCTGAGAGTACGTGATAAAGGCTATTTATCACAAACAGTTTGATACCCAGTAGCTTTTTAAATGTGGCGTTCCCCCAGGGCTCTGTTTGGGCCCCTGTCTTTTGTTGCTAAACACATACGCCTTGGACAGACGACAGATAAATACAATAAAATGTCCCGTTCTTCACACTGTCAGATTTATTTAAGAGTAAAAGTGAAATTACAAACTGGTTAAAAAAAATCGCTCCATCCAACTGAACTTTAAGAATTCACTGAATTGTCAGGATCAAAACCTCAAACTCCAGCCACAGAACATTACTCACACAGATCAAGACATAAACGTCTGTGGACTAACCCTCCTCTGTCTTTATGTACTCCACCTCAGATGCCTGAAGACATTTTTAATAAAACAAGATTTTCCTGAATAACTTTTTTTCATTCTACTAATTGTCATTTCATTTAGGCTTTAGCTCTATCTTTGTGAACCACTTAATGATTAATTACTTAATTTTATTAGTGAAAGCTTTTAAGAGTCCTACATATATCAGACTAAATAAAGACTTCACTACATTTTGAACCTAATAAATATTTTCAATGCAGGCTTTGTACCTGGAATTAATTAGCTTTACATGTCTGTTTTGGTGCTTTTAGTTTTGGAGAAAGTCTTATGCATGAAAAAAAAATAGAAAGAAAGAAAAAGCTACACTGCAGGGGAAGAAAAGTTAAAATACAAAACAAACAATTAAAGGCATCAAGATGGGAAATTAATATATATATATATATATAAAAAGAGCCTTACAAAAAATAAAGAATATCAATCAATGGTACGTCGTGTAAAAATGCTCGAGACTTAAAACGCTGAATGAAGACTTCAGGAAACCAAGAAACAAATGAAGACGTACGTTCTTGAGGGACGAGTGTAAAAGTGTGGAATAAAATGCCTGAACAACGACGGAGAGCGTGAAGAAGCTGCCTTTCATGTCGGCTTGAAAGACTTTTAAAAACTGCTTGTTTGCCTGAGTTACGGCGCTGACGGCTGCGACTGAAGGCAGCGTATCAAAGATGACCCTGCGGGAGTCTATTAGGCTGCCTGCATTAAACTAACAGGCTGTACTTTCCCCTCCATCTCTTGCCCTTTATCTCATCTCTTTCTCTTTTCATTAATTTTTGTCTGACTTGTAAAAATAAAAAAAGAAGAAGAAAAAAACGTCCGCCTTTCGTGCCTCTTCACACTTGTTCTTTTCACTTCATCTCATTTGTGAGTTTTTCACCTGAAAGACGAGGATGTTCAACAACAACCTAAAGGCCTAAAGTAATAAAATGTTAACTAGGAATGCCTTAGATATGAGCTGAGGAGGAGTTTTACAATATATATATATATATATATATATATAGGTTTAAAATAACATTTAAAAATGCAAACTAAATGCTATTACATATGGAAAATCAGTTTTTATACTACTTTTACAGTCGTCACACTAATGATGAGCTAATATTTTCCTGCTTTTGGCTGCTGTTGGTGGAAACTTGTTAACTTGTTTACTGTAAATTTCATGTTTATCAGCTGGTGTTACTTTCAAATAGTTAAAATAATATGACACACTTAAATACAACAAAATTCAGTTTGTTACTCCTGTAAGGTTAAAATCAACAGCCATGATAACACTGGTATGAGGCAAGCTAATTACAAATGATGCTAATGGTAGCATCATTTGTAATTGATGCTGTCAATTACAAATTTGTGGCATCACTTTGTATCATTTACATATTTAGAGTAGTAAATGATACTATTCTATCATTTACATAGTTACATAGAGTAGCTTAGGAATGGTAAAACATCTGGTGTTGACATCTTGGTATGGGGGGTCCAAATGAAAATCTGCTTCAGGCCCCAAAAAATCTTGTTCCGGTCATACAGGTTTTTTTTGTTTTGTTTTGTTTTTTGTTGTCGTCACATTTTATTTTTGTGTTTTTGCTTTTGTGTTTTTGCTGTTAAAACCACAACATGGTTTAATACCTTTAAAAAAGTATTTCCCCCTCTATTCGTCCCTTTTACTAGAATTCATTGATGACTCCAAGCCCCTCCCCCGAGGCCCCGCTGACCCACCGGTGCCCCTCATAATGAGCTGTCGGAGCTCAACCGATCCGCTGCGTTGGTTAAACAGGACGACTTCCCCTCTGGGGCGTCTCAGTGTGCAGCAGGGAGATTTAAACAGCATGACTAAACAGAGACGCTCTGCTCTGAGCCTCTGAAGAGCCAGAATTATCATCTGATTAATAATTAGATCAACAGAAAAGTAATTGGACTTTAAATTAATAATGCAAACATTTATATATCTATAAATGTATACATACATGTCCTTTTGATCTGCGAGCTAACCGAATACCCCATATTTATGGACGATCAGTTTGTTGACACTACTGCAAAAGTATGAATCTTTTCTCGTGGCAGAATAAAAATGTTGAAATAAATACAGCCTGAAAGTATTTTTATTCCTATGAGGGAATTTTTTCTCTCATAATGAAAACTGCTCTGTTCTCGTCAGGTTCCTATGTGGCTCATTATATTGACCCAATGGGAAGTTTACAGATAGACTCAGTCGATGCCTTAGTGTTCCAAAACACACCCACAGCATCACACATCCCCTGCCTTGCTGCAGAGTGAGGTTGAGATGATGTGTTTGTTAGCCCAAACATATCATCTGATCAAAATCCACATTTCAGTTAGAATGGAAGTGAAATATAAGCAGAATGTTTCTCTGCAATAGTATTGATGAATATTGAAAAGAAGAAGAAAAAAAAAACTAACGTTGACTATGAATTATAAATTCTTCTCTTTTTGCCCCACCAATGAAGATAAATATCTGGCTGTTCGTTCAATTATTGGTCAAATATTTCTCACTGATATAATAATCAGCCTGACTAATACCAGACGTATCTGACCAAATGATGCAATTGCACTTTGATGTTGCCTTGACCACTGTGATTCATTAAATGTGAGTTTTGAAGGTTTATTTTTAATGTTCTTTAACTTCCAACTCACTGTGTGCAGCAGACGGTCAGCATTTAATAATGTCCTAAAAACAACTGATCATATTTAAATCACCTTTTTGCAAATTTTACTTTAATGTACTCAGTGCCTTTTTTATACAATATATAAGAAAGACATTAAAAGATGGAAACAATCCATTTGATTCCCTTTGTAAATAAAAAAATAAACATTTTATTGCCTAAGATGCAGCAACACGTCATTCCTTTAGTGAATTTGAACTGGGGAATATAAAAAAATGCAAACATAAAACATACTGACAGACAAAGGAGAGGACCTTGGATCCCAGGTCCTCTCCGCGGGCCACGTGTGGCCAATCAGGAGAAAACAGCAATGCGTGTTGACGTCACAGAATTACAGAGTTTAATCTGTAAACTCTGTAAGACAACGCATAAAATTACAACAGAAACTGCAGAACAACGGAGACATACATTCATTTACCTAACAGACTTGGAAAAAGAAGGAAAAAAAGAAAAGCAAAGACGTGCAAAGACGTCTTTGGAGAGTTGCAAGAGCAAATCTGATTTGTTACTTCTGTGTAGAAAGTTTTATAGTAAAAGGCGTATTCTTATCTTTAATTTATTCAAATAAGGCGTATCTTTGCTCATCCAACCAGGAGCTATCTCTGACCCTCTATCTGAAGCCAGAAACTCCTGCCGTGTTTACAGCCTTTCACAGATGAGTGTGAAAAGCTGGAACTTCTCCTGTATTGTTTTCCACACAGACAAAAGGCAGTTCAAACGATCCTAGCAAACCATCTGCTGTAACTACAGGTAACATAAAGGTCAATAGGCCAGAATACATTACTAATTTCAAAACCACAATTAGGGTATTTGAATCAAGACATGTTAAATTTTAAAACTAGCTTATTTTAAATTTATTTTCTTAACAATGTTAAATACAAACTGCTTGTATATTTTGTACAGTTTGGATAAATTACTGCTCTGAATATGTTTTTTTTTAGCAAACTGCCTTTTTTTTGGTTTGCATACTCCAGTTAATGATTAATCGATTAGTAAATTAGTTGATAATTATTTCAATAACTGATTTCCCACAATTAACCTGATTAATCACGGTTAATTAGATTAATCACAAATAATCCAATTAGTCGTAAATTATCAGGTTAATTGATTAATTGGATTATTCACGATTAATCCAATTAATCGTTTCTGCGCTACAGGAGACCAGTTTTGATCATGGATTCAAGCTCATTTCACTCCACAGAGCAGACCCTGTCATCCTTATTACACCCAAACATTATTCGTTTTTCCTCTATTTTAATTACAAATGGAAAATCGTATACTTAAGCAAAGTCTGTCTGTTCCATGTTTGCTGCTGCTTGTCTTAATAAGCTGCAGTTACAGATTTTTAACGTGACTTCACGTGTTTATTGGCTGACTGGCTCTTCGGATCGAGTCGTTTACATCACCCTGAAGAAGATCGATATCAATTGAGGCACCAAGCAAACACACTGGTGGCTGATGGGGCATTTCTACACACACATATGTACAAACGCTCCCATAAAGATAAGAAGCCTGATGTCTTGTGACACGCCGAGGCGAGAAGGAAAAACGAGTCCAAATGGCTAAAAACAACCCCCCCCCAAAAAAAAGAAGAAGAAGAAGAGGAAAGGAAGTGTGTGTGTGTGTGTGTGTGTGTGTGTGTGTGTGTATTGTGTGGTGAGTGGGTTTTTTTGGAGTAGGACAAAATGCTCCCATTCATTGTGCTCCTCTGGGAACACTGGGACTGACTGGGGCAGCTTCTCCAACGCAAACACACAAAGATCTCCTTTTACTGAGGGGAGGGGCGGGGTGGGGGGCGCTACTGGATGAATGGTTGGGGGGGGAGAGTGGGGGCAGCGGTGGGCCCCCCTCTGCTTAGCCC